TTAGAGAAATAGAGATAAGATACTGTATGATGGTTATTCAAATTTATAGAGAGAAAGGAAATGAAAACTGTGTAAACTGTGGACCACTCACTGCACAACACTTACCCAACAAACATTTACTGAAGGCTCATTTGGAGCTTCAAGTCTAGTAGGGAATTGAGAAGATAATTGCCATGTAGTACGTGCTCCGTCAAATAAAAGTGCAGTATTCTAATGAGGTCCAGTAGAGGCATTTGGAAGGACAATCCAGAAGTCTGCCTGGAAGAGGGGACACCTAAGCTGATACTTGAAGGAGAAAGAGGAAGAAAGAACTTACTCCATTTGCAAAGGCCGGGGAGCTAAAAGTAAAAGTGGGCAGGAAGATGTAGAGTTCTGAGACCAGGAAGGTGAACAGGAAGCAAGTTATTCAGAATCTCTGAAGCCTTAGATTTGAGACTTTACCCTGAGGGTAGATCTGTCAGCTAGAGAGTGACAGGGTCTGTTTCGTATCTCCAACTCCTGCTTTAAGTGTGTACAACCGTGTGGAAGCAGGACAAGACAGACCCAGGGAGACCAATTAGGAAAGTATCGCTCAAAACATTTTGACAGACAAACAACAGAATGCACACACTTCTGGACACACACACACACACACACACACACTGAAACACGCTTTACAGAACAATTCTTTGTGAGGTGCATCTATTTCACTCTTCGAATGGTGCACCTCAATTATTCCAGGACCCACTAATAAGTCACAACTAGCAGTTTGAGAAACTTGGAGTTAGGAAGTCTCTGTGATCCTCCAGCGGGGAGATAATAGGACTTAAGGAAGCAGAAAGGTGGATAGAAGCATGCGGAATGATCCCAGAGGGATTTAAGAGCTAGGAGAGAAAGAACCAAAGAAAGTAGAGATACTGCTCAGAATTTTGGCTTAAATTCTGGACAAAGGGGTCATTTGCCGAGATGGGGAACATTAACCAAAAGATCTATTAGGAGGTCAAAGACACTGAGCATTTGAGAAATGCCCATTTTTGGTAAACACAAATGTATCCCTTAATTTGTGGCAATTTGGGGAGGGGGGGGGGGTCACCTAAAAACTACATTATATAACTCCAGGAAGTGTTCAAGCTTGTCTACCAGAGGAAACAAACTGGTGGAGATGGGAAGGACGAAATCCTTATGGACAGGTGTGGGCTCTAAGGTCAAGACTGAAAATTCTCCTTGGGAGGGACAGGAAAGCTATAAATCCCGAGAAACAGCCCAGATCAAAGACTCACCTGGGACCGAGCTCTGCCTGCTCTGGGGCTTTTGGGAGGCTGAGTATAGGGTGGGTATTTTGGCTTTTGGTTTACTAGCATGCTGGCAGGAGTTGGCTTCCTAGCACACAGTATTGGCATCAGATTTGGAACCCCCAATCACTTGTTGCAGGGACGTAACAGACAGTGCTTATGCACTCCTTATATAAAAATGGAAATCCATTAACTTTATACTTCACGCACGCCCTCCGACAGCACTGGGTCAAAGGGAGTTTTTTCCCCTTCCTCTGTTCAGAGCCTCCACAGTGCCCATCCTGCTCCTTCTAAATCCTTTCTTTTACAAAACAATAGGGAGTGCTGGTAGCCCATCGCTGGTAGAAGATTTGGAACAATGGGTGTTTCTGAGCCGGCGTTATTGAAATGGTCTTGTCTGTGTCCTGGGGGAGATTGTAAATGAGATGTCAACAGGAGCTCTTTTGTGCGGACGGCATTCAGCCCAGAGAGAGGAATTTCCTTACTGCGCTAGTATTTAAAGCAGATTTGTTGCTGCTTTGGCAAAAACTTTTTCTCCCGCCGCCTGAACTCTCGGCCCGGAATGAGTCACCCGGTGGGGCTGTGACTTCCTTCCCCGCTTAGCAAAGCTCAGCGTCCGTCATTTACATTTAGAAGGAAAGCTCCTAAGCTGCTTTCTTGGATTTTCATCAGCCTGAGCTTCTTCTCTAGACCGTCACGTGAGGCTGAGCTGTCAGCAGCCCGGTCCCCCCGGGGAGAGGGCAGCCGGCCGGGCTGTTTTTCTCACTCCCTGCAAAACTTCTGACTGTTTTGTTCACTTTTTTTTTTTTTTTTTAAATCCAGAGAGAGAGAGTGTGGGACAAACACAGTTTTCCTGCGTTAAGCCTCTTTCCTTTTTTTCTCCCTCCCTCGCCCTTTTTTGGTAAATGGCAAGCCATCTCAGTGTGCTCTAATTACCGCGGGCTGCGGCTGGCTTCATTCCCTCCTCAGAAGATAAGGCAACTGTTTTTTATTACTTCTCAGCCAGGTGCTGCGGGGTGACAAGACTTGCCTGTATCTGGAGACCTGACAAGGTTATCGGCAACGGCCAACAGGCTGGACCTTTGAGCAGCGGCCATCCCTGCTCCCCTTCCTGCTGACCCAGTTCCCCACCCTCCACCGGCGGTTCCTGTTGATTCCTAGTCTAGTCTTTCCGCATTCCTGCACTTAAGCAGTCCTGGCACAGCCACGGTTAGGAACTGTGTAAATCACAATCATGACCCAGCCCCAAACCATGAGCATAAATTTCCAACCTCAGCCCCAAGCATGCAACACAGGATATTCGAGCATAGGCTGACTTGGTACATTTGCAGCGATTTCTTTTTCAAAGAGGTGAGCCTTAAAATCTTTCACCTCTGGCAGCAAAAATCCAACATAATCACATTGTATTGCCATTCTATGGTTCCTTTTGGAAAGTAGAATGCCACCCATACCAGGAGACAGTGCCTGGCTTGCTTTAGGAAATAAAAATTGCTAGCGCTCAATGGATTTATATCTGCATGTTCACTAACATATCATGGTAAGCCCATCAGTTGATTCTTTAATTCGGGCTGTAGGTGTGTTTTGAAAGTGACTTTCACACTGTGTGTACTAGGTAACGCGTTAATGAATGAAGAGTGCCACTGCACATAAACTTCTAGGGGAGTGTCCTGAGCTCCGTCAGATTAGTGCATGGGCCACCCTCCTGTCACCGCAAATTACAGTGGCCAAGGCCAAGGAAAGAATGCTGGTTTATGGACTGCGCTGTCAAGTCAGACTATAGCTTGAGGATAGGGAATAAGAATGAGGAAGAGATTGATGGAAAGGATGTGTTAAAACACACCCACACAACCTTGCAAATATGAAGTGTTTATAAGGACACATCACACTACCCCCACTCTCTAATTTGTATACAGAGGGGTCCACCTTGTGGGAAGAGGCCAGTTAAAATCCCCTGCCAGTGCTCTATTACCATTATAACAAAAACCATAGTGGATGTTTCTGATAGTGATAAACCAATAAACATCCAAAACTCCAATGAGATCAAGGAAAGAGAGGCAAGTGAGAAGGATTGTAAGATCTGATCTTAGATCCCTCTTTTCCTTAAAGCTATAGAAACCTTGCCCACCCACAATGCCAAGTCCGGTACCATCTGCTACCCTCTGTGTGGGCTTGGCTGGGACAGGGCTCCATCCAGGCCCAGAGCTGCCTCTGAAGGAAGCCCTGGGAGGGAACTGCTCCAAGGCATCTGAAGGGCTAGGCAGACATTATTCCTTCACCTGCACTTCTGAAAGCCATTGCCCCAAACCTCACCCTGGAGCTACTTGCAGCGTGAATGTCCTCCTGCCTCCTGCAGACACCAGTTGGCAATTGGCGACCGCTGCTCCAAAGGTTTCCTTAAACCAGCCGTCACCAACCTTTCGGACCTCACGAACCACCAGTGGTCCATGGACCACCCATTGGCGACCGTGGACTTAGAGTAGGCAATTAAGGGGTGCTCCCCCAGACCCTCCTGGTGTGTCATGTATATTAGCTTTCTACAGCCCCAGAAGTTCTGAAATTCAAGCACATCAGACCCAAAGATATCTGGTAATGCCTTGGGACTCAGACACTGCTCTCACAAACGTTCAAAGGTGATCTTAAGAGGCTTAGATGGGAAGAACCCAGTTCCAACCAGACTCCACCCTGGAGAACAGGGACAACCAAACTCTCCAGCTTCCTTATGGCGTGGGGAATTGGGACTGTGGAGACAACTGGTTTATTAAATTCAGGGGATGAGGATGATGGTGGGAGGTAGGCAGAGTGAATCGATACAAACTTTAGTGCTGGCCACACCAGTGTCCTGGGTTATTTTTATTTAATTTTTGGCAAATGATAAAAGCCCAGCTGTAAAGGGGAATTTTCAGTGCAGCCTGTAAGTGGCCCTTTGCCCTCACACTGTGATCGTGCGCGGACTGACCTCGTGATGCGGACAGAGAGCCCCACGCGCACCTGGTCAGGTTCTTCTCCGGATCTGTGCCATCGGTCGCTGACACAGTTGGATAACGAGGTGTCATTTCAAAGTGCTGATTCTGTTGCTTGAGAGGCAGTAAAGGGCTGAGCAAACAGTTTCCCACAGGCTAACCCAGAGAGTTTTTTCCTGTTTTAACTTTGAAAAGATGGGTTCCAGGGAGGAAAGAGGAAAGGAGTAGGATGAATAATTAACTGCCTGACTGCCCAGACCAGGGCCTCCTGTGGCCTCCCACAGCCCAGCTCTCCAGACCCAGGTAATTATTCCTCATCAGGCTGAAACCAACAGGAAGGAATGGTGGATGCATTTTCTTTCTTCTTTACTTCCCCTCACATCCTGTTTTCCCAGGTTTGGGGAGTTGAGTTTGCCTTGTGCAAAAACTTCTGTTCCAGGTCCAGCCCTCCCTCCCCGCCCTCTGTCCACAGGGCAGCAGCAGGGGGCTGGCTTAGGCCTGCCTTCTTTTCAAAGCCCGGAGAGCTTGCTAGGGAGCAGGGGTTACAGATAAATCCAGCCTGAAGCTTTAGTTTGGACTTAGCCTAGCTGGACTCTCATTCGATATGACCTACCCTGGAGTGTACACAGGTCACTCTGTCTGCTTGTCTATCTCACCTTCTCGCGGGAGACAGGTTGGCAACATATGCTCAATGCCTTGTTCGCATCTAGAACCAACCGCTACCCCATATAGCCTCGGAGCAGGTACACTTGAGTTCTATTTTGTTTACTAGACACACAGCTATTGTACATGGCAGGAGAGTCCTGTTCATCTATATGATTCCACTCCAGGTTTTTTCTTGTATCCCAGGCTCCAGGTCCCATTGTGCAGGTAGTAGAAATTCTCAAGAAAAAAGACCAAAGGCAAAGAAAGTTCCCTGGCTCTCAGATGCTCATCTTGTGCAAGCAGAAAGAGCACAGAATAAGTCACAGAATAATGAAAAGTGAAAGGAACTGAGGAGAAGGGCGCTGGAGTGGGCAGTTAGCATCAGGGACCCCTCATATAGCCATCTGCTCAGTGCCTACAAAGCCAACCAGAGAGGATAGAGAAAATTAGGTGGATAACCCATTCCGCTGATAATAGATTGATTTTTCCCATACTAACTCCATGTCAAAGACTGGCCAGCCACAATTGCATTTGGCCAATGGCAAAAGAGAAGTGGGCATTGGTGACAGGAGGTTATATTGCAACATCCAAGATCACTGAGAACAGCTTTGGTGAGTGTTCACTTTACTTGAGTCCTGGTGACCTCCATGTTGGTCACTTTTTCTTCTTGCCAAGAAGTCTCTTTGCATTCCTATTCATTCCTTCTTGTAACAGGTATTTCCCACACATGGTATTACTATTGTTACGTCAGGGAACCATTAATGTTACAGAAAACCGGAGACGAACAAAGCAACCTTTAGAGTAGGGGTGTCGAACTCAATCAGAGAAGGGGCCAAAATCTAAAATCCAGCCTAAATCGCGGGCCGAATGGTTTACTGAACAGTCATAAACTGTCATTGTGATGGAAATGCAGCGGAGTGCAGTGATGACAGCGCGGTGCGGGCCACATTGCAAGGCCTGGCGGGACGGATTTGGCCCGCGGGCCTTGTGTTTGACACATGTGCTTTAGAGAGATGGAGTTTCATTTATTATTATTATTATTATTATTACTAAGCGCAGGCCCAGAGGAAAATGTCTCTCAAATTCGGGGCCCCAACATGGAGGAACTTTCCCTATTTATATGTTTTTACCTTCTTTGTCTCCCAAATATGGGGTGTTTCTGGCCCCTTTTGTAAATTCTTAAAGAGTCGTATGTGCTGGGGCCTTGAGACCTCAACTAAAGGCCTGGCCTGGTGCCAGCACTGATAACTTCGTCTGGGGAAGGTTTAATGGCCTCTCTGAAGTGGGAGTAGTCTTATTTTCCTTATTATTTAAGCAAGCAAGCATTTATAGAAGCCAAAATAGCAGGGTTATAATTTCAAACAGCAGTTTTTATATATTAATAAGATGGATGCTTCACTATGTTGTCTAAAACAGACAACTCTTACATCCTTAGTTAACTCCTTTCTCTCACGGGGTGGGGGGAAATTCACATAAGAGAATATGGGAGAGTATTTCTGAGAAGTGACATCTGAGAAGAATGAAAGCTTGTTGATGAGAAGCTTAAAAGAAAAACGTCCTTCCCTGCTCCGGCACTCTCCTTACCCCATCCTCCTAGGCATGCTGTCTCTCAACAAAACTTGGTCTACTCTCACCTGAGGAGTTGGTACACCAGCTGCCCAAACAGGAAACCTTACATAATTCGGTAACCCTGACCTTGGGCCCTGGATCTTCCCCTCCTGTAAACAGTCCATTCAACCCAGGAAGGCCTGCAGACCTTGCTGTGACAAACTCTGAAAGACACATCGTGTTACAAACATGGGGGGGGGGGGGGGGGAATCCCTAAAGCCTAGAGGAAGTGACATATCTGATTCAGTGGTAGAAATCACTTCATCCAGTAATGGAACAAATGGAAATTCAATCCCAGCAGATGCTACTGCCAGCGCAGTCACTTGTGCGCCTGGATGACTCAATAGCACCTGTTGGGAAGGCCGGGAAAATGAGCCGTGAAAGAGACTACTGGAAGCAACAGCCCTGCCTTGCAGATTAGTAAGCCCCGTGTTCTCAACATCCTGACTTCAACATGCGTGCCTCGCTCTCAGAGGCTGTGACTCACCCTAGCTCCTGGGCAAATGATTCTTACTCAGAGCCCTGGGTTCTTCATCTTCAGTATGCAATTCTAGCCAAATGTCTACTTTCAAGATGTTCCTTTGAAATGACGGATTTCAGGCAACAACTGGTTTTGCATATGGTAACCCTCAATTTCTAATACTATTTAACTTGTTGCCAAACTTCATTAAAAGTCCACATTACAAGTTTGAGGCCTGGGCCCGTGGATCTGGGCCTTCTAAAACGACTTTCCTCCAAACAGCGTTTAACTTCCTTTAATTTAGTTAATTAATGGAACTTTTGAAGAGAACGGTTCCTTTGATCTGAGCCTCTTTCTTAGTTTCCAGTTAACATTTCCAGAGAGGGAGAAAGAACGGCTGCCCTTGCAACTGGCCGGAACCACCAGTAACTCACAGCTGTGGTCCAGCCTCCAAATCGGAGCCTTGCAGAGGAAGGAGGACCTGCGGGAGGGGACTGGTGGAAAGCAGCAGCACCCTGGGCATTTTTGTGGGTGTTTGCCCCACACAGAGATAAAAGAACTACGGTGAGGCTGCGAGGCCTGCTCTCTGGGAGGCTGGGCCTACAGTCTGGAAATCCGAAGTAATCCTTGCGAATAGACAAATGGGGAAGCCAGCCAAGTGAATTACAAATGCTTCTGCCAGAGAGAAAGGCTTTCTGCAGTCGACATACAAATTTGGATAAAAATGGAAAATGTGTGCCTCACCCAGCAGGAATCCTCACTGCCATCCATCAAACCAAATGGCTACAGCAGTTCTTGCTTTTCAACTTTCCATCTTAACAAAAAAATGTTACACTGGCTACTGCTTAAAAAAAATAAAAAAAAAAAAAAAAAAAAAAAAAAAAAAAGGCCTGGCTAGCATGGCTCAGTGGTTGAGTGAACCAGGAAGTCATGTTTTGATTCCCAGTCAGGGCACATGCCGGATTGCAGGTTTGATCCCCAGTGTGGGCATGGAGGAGGCAGCCTATCAATGATTCATCATGGATGTCTCTCTCTCTCTCTCTCTCTCTCTCTCTCTCTCTCTCTCTCTCTGAAATCAATAAAATAAAAAAAAATTTAATTCTGCAACATCAACCCAGAGATCTTACCTTGCAGCGAGAAATTTTTGTTAAGGCAATAAATTAAAAAGCAAGACATTCTGAGTCTTGACTTCCACTCTTCATGTTTTTTTGGAAGACAAGTCCTGCAAAGATGTCCACCCCTTTCTACTGCGTGACTTACCTCAGAGGAGAGCTGGAGATGTCATGCAACATCAGGGATGTCCCAGGCTTGGCCACCAGGGGACACTAGAGAGTACGGGTGCCAGTCCCAAAGTACTTTGTTTTCTCAGACTTTTGGTTGGGAGGGAAGGGGGTGGCGGTTGGGGTGGGGTTGGTGCGGGAGACACAGCTGACTTGCAAAACATCCTTTTTTTCTCTCTCTCTGAAATGATGCCACTTGCCATTTTACAAAGCCAAGGTTGCCACGTTACCTGTTGCCAGGTTCCCGAGAGTGCTTGGGGAAAATGTGGGCGAGAAAGGTACAGCACAAAGTCCTCCAGCCGGGTGGCTTTCAAGCTGTGTTGACGGCAGGCGCTGACATTCGGAGAGCAGCTGCGAGGACTGCCTGAGCCTTGTTTGATTGTGGTTGCAACAGAGGAGTGGCTACGCCTTGTGCCTGGGGCTCTTTTTTCCCTTTTTTTTTTTTTTTTTTTTTTAATGACTAACTTTCTGATCCCTCCCTCTCTGGATTTTGGTACAGTACAGGCACTGTGAGCAACAGGCTCACCTCAGGAAGCCCACGTTTTGTAGCAACTTGTTAAAACAACTTGAGAGCCTTAAAAAAAAAAAAAAAAAAGTGACTGAAACAAACCTTTCCATTCTCCCTTCTGAGAACAATGTTGTGTTTGATCAGCCTCAGAGCCCTGCTCCCTGAAAGGTCTGTTCTCCCCACAAGAAACGGCTGCTATCAGCTGAACAGATCTCTGAGCCAGACATGCCCGGGCTTGGGGCATTTGTCTGGCATTAGGAAGTGTCTGGAATACTAGTAACTACCAACTGGCAAGTCTTACGACTACAAGAGTTATTACACCGCCCCTCCCTCTCTGTCCACATGCCCTCTCCTCCCCCTACACGCTCACACAAGCGTGCTTTTTTTTTCTGCTTCCATGGAGAAAAGGTTAGCTAGGCTTTGTGGTTTCCGTGGAGGATGACTTGAGTGGAAATCGTTCTCATAGCTACGTCCCTTGAGCCAAAACTAACCTGGAGAGAAGGCTAGGGGAAGCCCGCGCCCCCCACGCCTCAGCCCTCTGCCTTCTCACCGTGACGCCGGCAGGGCAGCGGCCACTGACCGCCACGGTTTGGGTGGCCGGTACATGCTATGCTGCAAATATTTTGAAACACGGGAGTGACTTTTTCCATGTGTATTTGTGTGTGTGTGTGTGTGTGTGTGTGTGTGTAAGTTCTCCCTTTTTTTGCAGTGTTTTTTAAAGTTGTCACTTGATACACCCTGTTGACCACTCCAAATTCATTCATTCTCCAAACCTTTGACAGGTTCCTGCAGGGCACAAAGGATTTTGCCAGGAGCAGTTTCCTGGCAGTTTTTGATGGAAGGCCCTAGGCTTCACTGGACCAGGTGTTGAAATGGGTAGCTTAATAGCGGGATGAACACAGGTGGTTTGGGTGAAGGAAAAGAGACGTGATTTGGAGCCCTCGGTATGCTGATTGTATCACTTAGTAGCTGCATAACTTAGCCTGCTCTGGGCCTCAGTCTTACCATCAAACAAATGGGGGCAGTGAGACCTTGCTCTGTCACCAGGCCATGTCTGTTGAATTTTTAGCACAGTGAGTGTTCGAGTACAGATCACTCTGGGTGCTGAGGTGGATCTAATGGCCCACAAAGGGGCATGGAGAATTCTCCGTCCCATCGTCTTTGTTTACACCTGGACTTGTGCTTTTATCCTGAGAAGGCCTCAGGCCAGACTACTGATTGGCATCAGGTGGGGAAGTCCGGCCTGTGTAGTAAACCACCACAGCGGGCCACACCCTCCACAATTCACTGTAAGGCCAGCACTTGTGGGCCTGCTGACTGGAAGCAGCAGCAGTGAACTTCTTTGTTAGCCGTTCTGTCCTCATACAGAATAGTTTACAGCCAACCACTAACATGATAACAATGACAATGAGGGGATTTGTGGTCTCTCCTCTGGCATGGTACCTGTGCTTTGAGAGGTCTGGAAAAATGGAAATGACTTTGTTTTTGCAAAGGCAAATGTATTAGGTATGTTATCCTAGATGCAAAAAGACAACACACAGGCTTACGTAAAGTGAAGATTGACCTTTGTCAGGGAAAATTCTAGCCTAGGACATGACTAAACTGCTTTTAGTTAAGAAGTTTTAATTTCAGACCATCTTATGTGGTTTCTTTAGGTTTCTGGGACTGTAAGGCCTTCACACAGGCCTTTCCTGAGCTTGTCATGTTGAGTATCCTCTTTCCATACACATTATAAGTAAGCAACTTGCTGACATTAAATCCACAATCCTGTAATTGTGCAGTGAACTCTTTAGGTCCCAAGTTTAGATCCTTCCACATTTCCCTTGGCTTTTTTTTTTTTTTTTTTTTTTTTTTTTTACATTATTTTGCTTTCTAAAGTTCCCTGCAGTTTCAAGTTACTTCTCTAATGCGTCCTTAATCTCACGTGCACTACCTCTGCCCTACCCACTGGATTTTAAATGTTTCCTCTCACTATCCAGATGCTTCTCAAACAATTAGTGACAGACCAGTTTGTTTGTTTGTTTGATGTCCAATCTGTTGCAGAACAAACAATACTTTGGTAAAATGCAATGAAAATGAATTACTAGGAAAATGAAATTTAAAAGAAACAAAGGCACACAAAAACAAGAGCAGAATCAACTGACAAACTACTCTGTAGAATTGTTAGAAAAGTTCCTAAAAGCTTACTTTCAATTTTCATGGTGTATCTCACCATGCACTCATCAAATAGTTTATGAATCGACACCTATCTGTGGACCACGTTTTAAACAGAACCTCTGTGCATAGAGATGTGCTGGCTCTCCATGGGACAACTATTAATTTACTGTATAGCATCTGCCAATTTCCATGGTGTAAACACTCATATCAAGTTCAGTTTCAACCTGTTAATGAAATGTCACTGAACACAGACTTGGGAAGAGATGTGCACAATAAACTCTTATGGGCTTGTTCTTGTGTTCAAAAACTTTCTAAAATTTAGTAATCAAGAACTGCTAAAGAATTCTTCAACATGGCTTTATAGTATCTGACCTATTAGCTTAGAAGTAAGAACCCATTTTTAAGAAGATACAGAAAGTGGTTTTGATCCTACACATGCTTTATGTGTGCTGTTGTTTTTTAAAAATATATATTTTTATTAATTTCAGAGAGGAAGGGAGAGGGACAAGAACATCAATGATAGAGAATCATTGACTGGCTGCCTCCTGCATGCCCCCACCTCCCACTGGGGATAGAGCCCGAAACCTGGGCATGTGCCCTTGACCGGAATCGAACCAGGTACCCTTCAGTCCGCAGGCCAATGCTCGATCCACTGAGCAAAACCAGCTAAGGCTCTTTTTTCTTTCTTTCTTTTTTTTTTTTTTTTTTTTACAATATACAAAATAAGTCTATTTACCAGGTTGTAGATACAAAATAATTAGCCATTTACATGCAATAAACATTAATATTTTAAGAAAAACAATTTTAAATATATTACATGCAATAACCATTAATATTTCAAAAAATATTTTAAATATAATATTACCAAAACTGTACTAACATAGTATAATATCACAAAAGTTGTAGAAAATATTAAAAATTTGCAAATATCAGGATTACTTTTATTATTTTCTAAAATATTTTTGTTCATCAGTTTATGTTGTTCATTATATTCCACAAATGAGTGAGATCATGTGATATTTATCTTTCTCCAACTGGCTTATTTCACCTAGCATAATGCTCTCCAGGTCTATCCATGCTGTTGCAAATGGTAAGAGTTCCTTCTTTTTTACAGCAGCATAGTATTCCATTGTGTAGATGTATAATACCACAGTTTTTTAACACCTTCCTCTACTATACTCTTCCTGTCACTCAGACCTCAGTGGATTCTAAGTAACTTGTGGTATTGAATCATGAGAATAGAATGAGAAAAACAAAAACTTAGGAGAGAAGAAGGGTTTGGGGCTTAGTCTGAAAAGCTAGGAGAGAGTGATGCTGGGAAAAATTGGGGGATTTAGTTGTTTGAATTTCTAGAGCAACCTTGAATGCAAAAGATTTGGGGCACCAGAAAGAAGGGAATTGTGAGAATTGTGAGTTGCGTGTTGGATCTTCTTTCTCCTACTTCAAAAGGCAGTCTTGGAGATTTGAACTCCTAATACCTATTTGATGACTGACAGATGGTCTTTGACTCTGACTCCTGGGGTAGCATTGTGCCAAGCTCCACACCACAGTAAAACCTCATCACAAAGCCCCTGGCATAAAAGCACAGCCGTTGAGTCCTGTCCTCTATGCACCTCCCTTATTCTAAGTGGGACAATCTTAAGGTCTTACTTCCTCCAGATACTGGGGCTGGACCAGCCTGTTAGGAAAGACATGTCCCCAGATTTCTCTCTCTCCAATCTAACCTTAGTGGACTTGTGGCATTGCTGCTGCTCTCTAGAAGCCCCCATTGATCAAACTACTGTGGGGCCTAAAAAATATATGAATACTTTTTTCTTCCACCTTCTAAGGTCTTTTAGCTGGGCTAACAATCAAATTAACAGAGATGGAATAACAGGAGAAAATCAAAGTTTTAATACATGCGAATGGAGAATTCACATAGGCATGAAAGACCATGAGGCAGGATTGGGTGTATAATACATTTCTGAACCAAGGAGAAAGAGGAGGGGGCCACAGGGGACCAGATGTCAGAAGTGAGAATGGGTGATTTGCAGGTAATTGAGGAAGAGTGGAAACATACAGAACGGGAAAATTCTTGCTGGGCAACTCAAAAACAATGGGGTATCTAGCTGAGAGGCTTGGAATCTTCCTGCTAGGGTGAAGATTCTTAAGGTGATTAAGCCAAGGCTGTTTTTCCAAAGCAGGTTTCTCTGTCTGAATCTCTTGGGTAGGAAAGGGGGAGGGCAAAGGTTCTTTCTGAGTTTTTTGTTTCTTAATAAACAACATAAGATCAATATTCCTCAAAGCAGTTATTCGGTGACAGAAGATTGGTTCCCTTCAGCACCCAGAGTTATCCCTATGGATATCGAAGAGGAGCTGACAACAGCCCTCCAGATGCCACCAAGTTGCAATGGGCCCTAGCGAGTGTCTCCAAACCCAGTCATTACCTTGTTACTCATGTGTCCCTCCACCTCCATGTCACACTCATCACATCAGGGCAGAATTTTTACTGTACATCACAGCAAAGAAAACGACTCTGTATGTGTCTGCTTTGTCCAGTTTTGACCGTCCACGTTAAAAGAGAAAGTTGGGGTAGTTAACCACAAGCAGTAAATCATCGAAAAGATCAGACATTTGATGTTGGAATGTGGCATGGAGTTTCTTTGAAACATGAGTGGACAAATGTCCTGGGAATCCATTTTTAAGAGCATAATGAGTTCACATTGTAAAGATTTGTTTTAGGGAACGTAATAAAGTGATCTAATCTCATTTGGTTCCAATAGACAGATTCTATCCTCATTAGGGTCACTCCTCCTCTCACCCACACTGGTCTTCAGATGAACAGCCAAGACTTAGCATGACCCTAAGCAGGGTTATCCTGTTCAGACCTTCCTAGGGAACACACGGTAGTGACAGTGCATGGGACTACAGTGGGTAAGGTGGAATGTTGACAATGCTCAGGCTTGTGTTACGTGGCTGGAAGCTTCACTGTGGCCCGCGGGAGAACCTGAGACCAGACTGGTTCTGCTCCTGGCTCTGCACCTGAAGGCACTGTGAGTCTCCCCTGGACACATTGCCTCTCAGGACTGCTGGTTGTTGAGCTCTGTTCTCATGTAAAGCTGTATGTTTTATGCAATATTCTCACATGGAAGGTTTCCCTGGGGTGAGCCTTCCCAGGTAACTGAGAGGTGACATATGTATTGTTCACATTACCCTCCCCCTTTCCGCAAGAGCACATATGATATTGTAATGTAACATCTCTGTGTGTGTGTTTTCCTTCAACTCTCAGGCAATCCCTGGGAAGTAGCCAAACATCTCTGTCCCTGTGGTTTTACGGTTAAGGAAGTCACTCTGAATCACAGGGCAGTCGAGCATCAGGACAATAATAGGGTCTTCCCACTTATTGGTCATTATTGGACGCTTCCTCTGAGTGGCCTTGGGAAGCATCCTATGTTTTGAAGTGAATGTTTCCTTCTGCATGATGGCCCCAGTGCCAGTTAGAGCCAGAGGCAAGGAGGTGGGTTGTGTGGTGGGGACCTGCGACTTGATATAACAGTAGGGACGCTAGCTGAGAGAAAAAGGCATGGATGGGGTGGGGGTGGCTGCAGGGGTGGGGAGAAAGTGATGGAAATACAATAGTTTTAAAGGGACTAAACAAAAGTTTTTAGAAAGCTGATCAAGAAATCTTTCTTTACTGGCAGGGAGTTCCCATTTTGGACACTTAACTCATTTTGATCTGCATTTTCCTGTATCGTGCTACACAAATGGAAAGCTGAAAGCCAGTGTGTAAAGCTTCTTCAAGGCCCTCAGCTGGGTCAATTAGATGGTTAGAGAGAGGGCTGGAGCCTGTTTCAGCTGGAGCCTCAGGAGGACCTCAGCTAACTCACCAGGTCCACAGACACCTCACTGCGCAGGTGCAGGCCCTGAGGTGATCAAGTCGCCCTGAAGGACAGCACATCAGGGAGTGGGCTCAAACAGACACACAGAGCTGATTTAGAAACTAGTGTGTACATTTATTTTACAATTAAAGGAGACTTTGGTGCAGTGTATTACCTCTCAATAGGTAGTTCTGCTCAGAAACAACAACCAAAAAATTCACAACAAAAGTTCATGTAATTCTATCCAGAAAGAGAGAGACAGAAAGGAGATAGAGAGAGAGAAGGGAAGGGAAGGGAAGGGAAGGGAAGGGAAGGGAAGGGAAGGGAAGGAAGGGAAGGGAAGGGAAGGGAAGGGAAGGAAGGGAAGGGAGGGAAGGGAAGGAAGGAAGGGAAGGGAAGGGAGGGGAGGGGAGGGGAGGGGAGGGGAGGGGAGGGAGGGGAGGGGAGGGGAGAGGAGAAGAGAAGAGAAGAGAAGAGAAGAGAAGAGAAGAGACTAATGTTGATAAAAGCAATTTGCAGGAACCTATGATAATATGCTATATATCCCCCAACCCCTACCCAGACACCTCATACTGTTCTTAGGATTTTACATGCTTACAATCTCTATGCTTTCCTTCTTTTCCCAATGTTTATTATCAACCATCAGAATCTTCTTTAACAGGTTACTTGGTTTAATATTACTTATATTTAATATTTTCCTGAGAAGGTAGAGACTACCTGGCCTTATCCATGTGCATATATTATTTCTCAGGGTGCACTGTTGCCTGAGAAGATTTCTACAGATGGCTAATCATGTCTACTTTATGTTGACTGATATTAATTTCCATTTCAGAAACTTCCATCTCCGAGGTTGGTGTTTTTTGGGCTTTTGACCCCTCAGTTTTGTGGGGGTGTCACCTTATGAAAGGCCCTAAGGGCCCAACCAGGAATCTCACTTAGTTTGTCAATGGACTTGTGTTCTTGTTAAGTGTCTTAGTGTGTTTCATGTGCCCTAATTTCCAATGGATGTCAGTTACAATATCAGAAATTAAGACCCATGCAGAAATCACAGTGTCTTTGTTTTCACTGTCTTCCAGTGTCATCTTGCATTACAACATATAAGAAGACACCACCTCCAGTCCCACCCAGAACTACCACGAAACCTTTCATTTCTATCACAGCCCAGAGTAGCACAGAGTCTGCCCAGGATGCCTACATGGACGGACAGGGCCAGCGAGGAGATATTATCAGCCAGTCTGGACTGAGCAACTCCACGGAGAGCCTGGACAGTATGAAGGCTCTGACAGCCGCCATCGAAGCCGCCAATGCCCAGATCCACGGCCCTGCCAGTCAACACATGGGCAACAACCCTGCCACCATCACTACCACGACCACCATAGCAACCATCACTACAGAGGACAGGAAGAAGGATCACTTTAAGAAAAATCGATGCCTGTCAATTGGGATACAGGTAACAGCCTCCCTTTTCTACCTTTGAATTAGGAACCCAAAACTAAGAAATGTAACTTATGTTTTCCCAGATTTGCGGTCTTGTCATTTTGGATGACAGCTATGCCTAGGACCAGATTTTCAAGTTATTGGCTCTGGAATCCCTAAATTGTTAAGCATGATGAAACAAAATTATGATATTAGATTATGTCTATAGATATGAACAGCTATTGTTTTTGTTCTTTAAACTGAATGCGTGACTCAAACTCTAGGGTAATTAAACAAACATGAACACAGTCAAACACAAAGGGCCTCAATTCCTAATGCACATATTGATTCTCAACAAAGGAGTGGACATCCAAGAATAACCTGTGTTCTCGGGTTGTGTTACAGTATGTTCAACACCCTTGAGCAACCAGATGAGAACAAAAATGTGAGTCCCTCCTCATAGATATGGGAGAGAGGGAGAGCACGACCGAAGAGCCTGATGGTGTGGAAAGCAGTTACTCACATCACAGCATCCAGAGGAAAGAATGCACAGCAGTTTCAGCGTAATCGTTGGCCATTTAGTCAAGCATCTCATAGAAATGGTAGAAAACTCATCAGGGCTATCAGTTCAGCTCACTAGTTTTTGCTCCTCAAAGATAACATCAAACTAATTCTTGTTTTTCCCACCTGTTGAGTGTGGCTTTCCCTTTTATCAATGGAGAAGAATCATTCTTTCCCCCCGGTTTTGTTGTGCAGGTGCCCTTTGAATAATAACTTCCTGACGTGGTGTCCAATAAATCTATCCACACTGAACCTTCACTAGGGCGCAGCTAAAGGCCAGGTGCGGGATACATTTTTCACAACAATGATGTATTTTCACAGTCCATTCTGCAGAGTCCACTTTTAAAGGGTAATTAAACTTTCTCTAATAATGATGAGTCAAATGCTTTTTATAACTTGCAGGTTACCATAACGCGAGTTGTCAAATTTCCTAAAAGAACTCCTAGCCCTGATGCTTGGAATTAAATGGCACAGCAGGAGGCATGGGCCCAAAGCCAGCCTCCACCACCATGCCCTCCACATCTTCTTAGAGGCTAATTGCCCTCGGAACACCGAAGGATTTGGACTAGGGAAGAGCAGAGGTCAGTCCTCTGTGGCATCCTAGGCAAATTACTTCATCTTCCTGAGCCTGTTTCCTCCTCTCTCCCTCATAGGATTATTTTGAAAATGAAGTTTCCTAAATTGAGCAACCTATGGGGGTATAGAGTTTCAATATAAGATGATGAAAAAATTAGAGAGATCTAATTTGGTGGTGATGTCAGCACAACAATATGAATGTACTTAATACCCCTGGAACTGTACATTTTTTAAATGGAAACTCTAAAAAAAATTATTGATTTCAGAGAGAAAGAGAGAGGGAGAGAGAAATAGAAACATCAATGATGATAATCATCAATTGGTTGCCTCCTGCACGCTCCCTACTGGGGATCGAGGCCGTAACGCAGGCATGTGCCCTGACAGGGAATCTAACCATGACTCTTTGGTTCATAGTCGACACTCAACCACCAAGCCACAAAAATATTTATTGGCTTATTAGATTGCTATATATAAAGTACCTATTCATATCCTTTGCTAGTTTTGTTTGTTTGTTTGTTTAAATATATTTTATTGATTTTGTACAGAGAGGAAGGGTGAGAGATAGAGAGCTAGAAACATCCATGAGAGAGAGTCATCGATCAGCTGCCTCTTGCACACCCCCTACTGGGGATGTGCCTGCAACCAAGGTACATGCCCCTGACCGGAATCGAACTCGGGTCCCTTCAGTCCCCAAGCCGACGCTCTATCCATTGAGCCAAACCGGTCTCGGCTGTTTGTTTGTTTTTATCTATTAAGTTGTGTTTTATTTTATTTGTGGGATCTCTTTATATCTTTGGACCCTTAATAACCCTTTCTTGGTTGTATATACAGTAAATATTTTCTCTCATTTATCATTTATCTTTTAAATTTTGTCCTTCATTGTAGAGAAGCTTAAATTACTATATGGTCAATCTAGCTTTTAGTTTAGAAAGGCTTCCTCTACTCTGAGTATATTTTTAGAGTTCTCTTGTATTTACTTTTATCCTGTCATATTTAATTTTTTTGTATTTTTTTGTTGTTGTTAATCCTCACCTGAGGATATTTTTTCCATTGCATTTTAGAGAGAGTGGAAGGGAGGGGAAGACACACAGAGAGAAACATTGATGTGAGAGAGACACATTGATTGATTGCCTTCCACAAGAGCCCCGACATAGATTGGGATTGGAGCCTGCAACCGAGGTATGTGCCCAACCAAAATTGAACCCATGACCTTTCAGTCTGTGGGCCAACATTCTAATCACTGAGCAAAACCTGCTAGAACTTCATGCTTAATTTTTTTTTTTTAATCCTTGCCCAAGGATATTTTTCTATGGATTTTTAGAGAGAGAGGGTAAGAGAGAGAGAAATAGTGATGTGAGAGAAACACATCAATTGGTTGCCTCCCGCAAGCACCCCAACCAGGGTCAGGGCCAGGGAGAAGCCTGCAATGGAAGTACGTGCCCTTGACCGGAATCGAACCCGTGACCCTTCAGTTCACAGGCTTAGGCCTAATGTATCACATAGGCTCTAGGTCATATATGAGCACATTTTCTATATGAGCTGTAATATATACATATCTATTTAGAAGCAATGGAGTAATATTTAAAGCCAATTCCTTAGTTTAAGGGGCAGGAGAAGGAGGGAATGAAGATATTCTACAGTTTATCTTAATGAGGTAAATACCTAAATCTCCCAAAATCAATAATTCTGACTACAATCAATTTTCTCCTTTCTTTTGTATTTTGTTATCTGCAAATTCAAAACTTCCAAGAACATAATGCCATGTAGTACTCCCTTCTAACATAGTGCTCACAGGTGAGTACATTCAAATGTATGGAGGAATCACAGACATTTATTAGGCAAAATTTTAAGTGATTAAAATTGCATTTTATGAAGATCGGCAGAGTCAAAGTGCGTGCTATAATAATGTAGTAAAGGCTCTCATTAAATGCAGAAATATTGAAGAAAAAGATTACAAATCACAAAACATTCTAGCAGTGTACAGAGGTTTCTAGTGAGATGTGACATTTGTTTTTCAAGTGAGATAAATAAAATGGAGCACCTCTACATATTTGATTATTTCTTTAGGTGGATGATGCTGAAGAACCTGACAAAGCAGGGGAAAATAAAGCACCCAGTAAGTTCCAGTCCATAGGAGTGCAAGTAGAAGAAGAGAAGTGGTGAGTCCACATGCATTCGTCCTCTTTCATCTTGAGGTTGCCAGTATGGTGCAAGTGTTTTTCCCCAGGATAAACTAACAAGATTCAATGGCATCATCCGTTAACTTTTGGTAGCATTTACAGGGTAAGCTTGAAACAGTATTAGCTGATTCCCTCCTCTACTTTAATAGTGGAGACCACTCCATTAAAGGTTTAGCTAGAATAGTAGAATAAGCACATCACATTTACATACACATAAGCACTGTGTATATTACTGTAGTGTTGCAAAACTATTCCTCTTCAAAAAACCTTTCTATTTGGTACTGTAAACTTTTTAAGATCCGAGGACTTACTTATTCCTTGTTTTCTCTTAGCACTTAATAGTGTTTTGTGTTTGATATGCACTCAATGAATGATAAATAATGAATGAATGGGGAAAAGGAGAAAGAAAATTTCCCATGGTTATCCTGGTGGGGATGTGGAGCAACATTAACTAACTCTCACTCATTGCTGTTGGGAATGCAAAATGGTACAACCACTTTCAAAGACAGTTTGGTGGTGTCTTACAAAACTAAAAATATTCTTATCATATGATCCAGCAATCACACGCCTTGGTATTTGCCCAAAGAAATTGAAAACTTATGTCCATGCAAAAACTTGCCCACGGATGTTTACAGCAGCTTTAGGCATCATTGTCAAAACTTAGAAGCAACCAAGACGTCCACCAGTAGGTGAATGGATAAATAAACTGTGGTATATACAGACGATGGAATATTATTCAGCATTAAAAAGAAATCAGTTATCAAGCCACGAAAAGACATGGAAGAAAATTAAATGCACATTACCAAGAGAAAGAAGCCAATCTGCAAAGGCTCTCTATAAGTATTTTCAATTCTATTATGTACCCAGATAGAATCTCTCTAAAGATTGAAATTTTAAAAAAGCAATTATACCATCTTTTAAGTAAGAGAATAACCTCAAATTTAAAAGTTTCCTTTAAACATTTCCCCTGCAGTCCACTGTTCTCTTACCAAATTAATGCCCTGACACTTGCCCCGCAATCAGAATGAGAAATATTGCATTATTTGGCCTAGTAGCAACCCAAAAACTTCAAATGAGCCCCTTTTATCATGTTATTGAAATGTTGAACATTTAATGAACTGTTGAACTTTGTAAGGATGGTCAGTTCCTCGGTAAACTGAGTAATTTATTTAAAATTCATTCTCTAAAGGACTAGTAAACCCAATGTTGGTGCTTAACTTTCTAAACGCACCCTTCCTTGGAGGTCACTCTATCGTTAGCCTCTGTAAAGTAAATAAGCATTTAAACTGATGCTAATGATGTTTTCAACCTCTCTAAAAGAAACCCATTGTCAAACAGTCAGGGATTACCTATATTGTCTGTCTCTAATTATAATTATTTTTATAATGTTGCTGGTAGTAATTCATTTAGATGGGATCTTTAAAAAAGCAAATTTGGGCAGATGAAATTACCTAATGACAGACAGGGGATTTTCTTAAATTATCTAGTGATAAAGCTGAGACTGTTGTTTTCACAATGAATGGCCAATACAATCTATCTCTTCCTTCCCCAAATAAACAGACTGATACGCAACAGTAACCTAACAAAAAGTGAGAGAAGAAAGAAAACAAAAGTCAGAGGAAGAGAGAGATAGTACAGAAAGAGGAAGAGGAAGAGGAAGACTTTGTAAGAGGCCAAAAGATTCATTATCACCTTTTGAATTTGCCACAATTTAGGAACCAAAACTAACATAATGAAGTCCACCTGGCTGGTTTGTCTGTTAAAGGGTAGACTTGTAAATGCAGGGTGTTCTTCAGTGTTCCAAATCAAAACAAAAGTCAATAACTCATTGGTAGAAAGTAAAATGCACTAAGTAACCTATCTGCTTAAAAAAAAAAAAAAAAGAATCAAAATGAGTATTACAAATGTTGGTATATTTGCAGGCAGCCATGACATCTTCAGAATGCCATTGATAGCCACTATGCCCCGTTCGTTCTGCAGGGCCGCCTCATGGTGGGGCCCTGCACAGAGGAATGCTGATTAGAGGTCTAGTTTACATGCCATGGCAGCACCGAGCCAGGGACAATGCATGCATGTGGTTTGGGAACAAGACGGCTTATTTTAAGGCCATGAAGAAATGCCTCATCTCCATCAAACACTAGCTATCTTCCTTCATTCCTGTTTCTCGGGTTGGCTAGTGGCACTGTTTGGCAGGATCCACACGGCATGTATTTGCTGACATGCAGGGCTGATGCTGAACAAAGTGGGCAAGTCATGCCACCTCCTCCCAGGATTGCTCACCTCCATCCCACAGCCTCCTCGCATCCCAGCTCCATTCTCCGGTCCTTCTGACTACTCCCCAGGAATTTGCATGAGGCCTCCCGTTCTTTCAAGCTGATAATTAGCAAATCTAGTAAACCAATCCTTTCTATTTACTAAGGTGAGAAAGCAAGATCCTCCCAGGGATCTCCCCTTTCCATCTGAGTCACAACTGTGCTTCAATAGTGGTTCAAATTAGACTTCTTGCACTAGCCCCTTAGTGGCTATAACTGGGCACAAAGAGAAAAAAATATTATTTTCATTATAAAAATAGTATGAAAAAGCAAAGTTACTTGGAGGAAAACATGCAATAGCATAATAGCAGTTTATAACTCTCTGATGGGCTTTGGAGCATTTAAAAAAACATTATTTATATATATATATCTTATTATTACATAAAATCTATATTTTCTATAATTGGATAATCAAAGAATAAGGAAAGTAAGTTTATATTTATGAATTATAAACATTTATAAATTACAGAAATAAAATAAAATCCCCCATAATCCTATCCATTAACCATGAATTAATATAGGTGTATAGTTTTACCCATACTTTTCCCAGTAATGTTTTATTTTATTTGAATTCCATTTTGTGTTTATTAGAAAAACAGAGCAAAAGCATCATACTTCCCTAGGTTACTTGTTTCTGACCATCTTTATTTTTTGTTTTGGTTTGGCACAAATTGCCAAGGATGAAGAGAACAGGAGAGGGAAATACACACACACACACACACACACACACACACACACACACACACACACACACAGAGCTTGTTTTGAAAGCTAGAAGGCAGATTGACTAGTGATAACCACTTAGCTGACCAGAGAAACTGAATCTAAAGCCAGTGAGGCAGAAATCCAAGCAGTACCTTGATTTAAATTTCAGAGCCCACAGAAGGCATGGGGATTGACTTTGTTGAAGGTGGAGGTACAAACCTCTTGAACCTGCAGAGCCAGTGACAATCTCTCCTTTCTGTGGCAGAGGCTGGGGTTTCTCCTCTTCAGAGGCTAACACAAAAGGGTCTCTGGTCTGGAAGATAGCAGCACCGTTAAGGGCAGGATTACTGTACTGAAAATAGAAGGTTAAGTGCAAATTTACAAACAATTTGAACCCAAGACCCAAAGACTCTAACATCAAGGATTTGGCAAGGTAAAATGCCAGCCAGGTCATCCTGCAGTGAAGATTAGCCTGGAGGAGCCCCTCCCACAACCAGACTTCTGACTGGTTTTTAGTCCTGGTCGTAATAAGATAGTCTAAAAGCAAGTTCTGAGTAGTGACTTAAAATCTTATATTTATCCACCAAGTTATGATTTCCAGTGTTCTTCATTCCTTTCTGTAGGTCCAAAGTTCCACCTAGCATCCTTTTCCTTCTGCTTGAAGAAAACTTTTTAAACCATTCTTATAGTGCATATCTACCCGGGATGAATTCTTTCAGATTTTTGGATATAGAAAAAGTCATTATTTTGTCATCATTTATGTTTATTTTTAAAAATATATTTTTATTGATTTCAGAGAGGAAAGGAGAAGGAAAGTGAGATAGAAACATTGATCGGCTGCCCCACCCCCCCAGGCCCTCCCATCCTATGGGTATTGAGCCTGCAACCCTGGGCATGTGCCTTGACCAGAAATCGAACCGTATTCATAGGTTGATGCTCAATCAGTGAGCCATGCCAGCCAGGCTGGCGTTTCTTCAATTTTAGATTAGTATTATGCATATATGGAGACTCTTAATTGAGGTCTAGGCACAACCTACTGAGTCTTGCCTTTCTGCTTATTGCCATATTCCCCGTTTGCCATATTGCTGTCATAATCTCTAGTTCAGAAACAAGAGATAAGTGTGAAGTGTGTGTTATAGGTTTGACCTTCGACCCCTGTCGCACCTCGGCTTTCATAAGGTTAGATATTTGTGATATATTTAGTAACAACTTATAAATCAGTCATTCTTAATTTTCACAACTAAGAGTGTTAAGGGATAGAAGTTTTGAACTTATATACTTTTTTGCTATTTATTAACATTGTCAAATTAACAAACTGACATCTGATGTTAGTGATTACATATAGAAACTACTGGTCTCACGATAATTTTCTAGAAAGGAAACTCCAGAATGTAATTTTTCTGGTGTATGCATATTTGATATTTCCATCTGTGTCCTTGTAAAGGACTTCTTAACTACCTGTGATCTTTAGAGATCATCCATGTGAGACACAGTGCTACATCAAGGACGATTTGCCTTCAGCATCCGAGGAATTAGAGAAGAAAACTTTAACTAGAATAAACGGGTATTAAATCACTTTGTGGTTTTCCTTTTCAACCACTCTCTCATCCCACCATGCCTTTGTGAAATATGTGAAGTTAGGTAACAGTGAACATCATTCATAGGATTTGTGTGTTTGGAGCTATGTGTATGCGAGGGAAAGGCAAGATCCTTACATTGGTGTTAATGGGATGGGAATGGGAGCAGATGGGTATTTTGGTGATTTGAAAAAAAGCTTCTGGTCTTTCTTATCTCCAGTTGGTGGAGCCATCCATCTCCTTCTCTCCTAGTATACCTTTTGTTTATTGCAAGGTAATACTTAGGCCTCCAAGGGGCCTCTCAATGCTGGAGTGGGGAGAGTATTGCAGGCATCAAAGCATGCTTGAGAATGACACCTGCCATTTCAGCAGGTCTGTGAATGCA